TCCTCCATTGTGGCCCCACCCTACCCCAGGGGGTCATGATTTGAACAAACTTGAATCTACACTACCTGAGGATGCTTCCATATAAATATGACCAATTAGGGCTTTGCTGTTATTGAGAAGAAGATTTTTAAAGATTTTTCCTATATATTTCTATGTAAAACTTTGATCCTCCATTGTGGCCCCGCCCTACCCCAAGGGGTCATGATTTGGACAAACTTGAATCTACACTACCTGAGGATGCTTCCATATAAATATGACCAATTAGGGCTTTGCTGTTATTGAGAAGAAGATTTTTAAAGATTTTTCCTATATATTTCTATGTAAAACTTTGATCCTCCATAATGGCCCCACCCTACCCCCGGGGGTCATGATTTGGACAAACTTGAATCTACACTACCTGAGGATGCTTCCATATAAATATGACTCATCATGGCTTTGCTGTTCTTGAGAAGAAGATTTTTAAAGACTTTTTCTATATATTTCTATGTAAAACTTTGATCCTCCATTGTGGCCCCGCCCTACCCCCGGGGGTCATGATTTGAACAATTTAGAATCTACACTACCTGAGGATGCTTCCACATGAGTTTCATCTTCCCTGGCTTTGTGGTTCTTGAGAAGAAGATTTTTAAAAGATGCTGTTAATTTTTCAATAATTCTTTATTATCTCCCCTTGAAAGAGGGCGTGGCCCTTTATTTGAACAAATTTGAATCCCCTTCACCCAAAGATACTTTTTGGCAAGTTTGGTTGAAATTGGCCCAGTGGTTCTTGAGAAGAAGTCGAAAATGTGAAAAGTTTACAGTCGGACGGACGGACAGACAGCCAGACAGACAGACGGACTACAGACAAAATGTGATCAGAAAAGCTCACTTGAGCCTTCGGCTCAGGTAATGAGGTTTATCGACAATTTTCAAACACCCCACCCTCCATTATAAATAAACTCAATTTTAACTAAATATTATTCTACAATATGCAAAGTCATGCACTTTACACATTCGTTATTTATCTCTTTTACACAGACAGCCTGGTATGCATCACATGGAATTCACATGTTCTTTCACTACACGAATGCTCACGTAAAATTAAAATTTCACGTGAAAATCACCTGGGTTCACATGACTATGTATATTGTACACATAACTTTATCATTACCATGAGGAGTTTAACCTCTGCAAAACTGATTTGATATATGCCATAGTTATGAAGGGAATTTTACTTTACTTCTGAATCAATAGCTTGATATATAGTTATATACATTCATGCAAATGCAGATTTTCCAACGCAGTCTGTTATCATAAAATGCATTTAAAACATGAAAATCAGTCTTTCTCTTTTCCAATTCATTAATTTCTCCCCTTCATTCATACAATTGTACTTGTCTTCTTTCTTTAAAAAAGCTGAACACGACTCGTAAATAGGCATACGCCATATTCGATTATACTATCCATGATATCAGCACCGAGATATACTCTTCGCATTCGGGTATCAGCATGGAATGGCGACAAGTGTTCGTACTGGTTATCTTGCATTGCCTTTGTTTATTCGTTTTATTGCAGTTATGTGTATTTGTGTTTGTTTGTATACTGCACTGACCCGTGCAACTGTTGTAAGTTTCTTTGGTATCTTACTCTCCTGGCGTAGAAGTACACAGACTTTACCCTTTGTCGCTACCGAGTGCTGTGTAGCGTATGTCCGTCTGCACCGGTGACAACTGATTACATTGAACAGTGACTAAGTGAACGGCTTATATAGTGGCTCTCAGATATAGCGAGTGAATAATCGAATATGGCGGACAAATTCCTGGCTGTAGCCAATAAAAAAAATCCAATACCTAGTCCAGAACCAAAACTCACAAAAACTTTGGATGGGTGGACTTAAGAGTCCTGAAAAAAAGTCGTAAATTGAAGTTTTGTAAAATGTTTCTTTCCATAATATAAATCACCGAATTCTTAACTGTGTATTCTTGCTACAGATATGAATTTAAAACGCCCTTTTCGAGGAAAATCAAATAAATATTGAAGGCATGGGGCACGAAGTTTTCTTGAATATCAATAGATAATCAGGATCACGCATTTTTCATCGTCTTTATACATAGTCTGCGCACGTTTGTACTTAATTGTATATTGAACAATATAATTAAAAAGAGATGAGCCTACAAACGTGAGCTCATACTTCATTTTACAAAAAACGTTCAAAACAAACTTGTCGCTTCCATTGTTATGATTGTGTTAACCTTGATTTGACTTCGATTGACATGTTGAATATTACAATTCATCACGTGATGTCCAGCTGCGAGTGTACTTGTGAAAACAATTACGAGACCAAGATCTAAATCACGTCTAAGAGCGTGTTTGGTTGGTCTGCCATTTGCAGAATTTAGCAAATTAAATGTTATATATTTGCGTGTCCTCACAATATTTTCTAGAGAAATCTTTTAATTTCATATTGACATCATACCATGCACATGCATATTCGAATTTCCAGAGAGAGAGAGAGATGTCGACACTGACGCAAATCGATAGCCCCGCCTCCAATTAATATTGATTATGTTACCTAAAAACCACTCCGGGTACATGTCAAATTCCGGACGGCGACACTACTGAATCGTTGCTTCGATTTTGATTCACGGTACTAAGACATTGCTTTTGCACAAAAGTACTACCTTATATAATCATGCATATGTAGTTCTTGCAATTGCTTGTAAAATATTTTGTATTCACTTCATTTACAGCTTGGTAAAGGAATCGCAAAAGACCCAAAATAGGGCGTTAAGTCCTAAATAAAATTAAAATCAAGTCCTAGAACTTGGTAAACGCATAGATTTTGCCATGTTTGTTTTTAAATTTTCATCTATTATTAATTAAGTGTAATGTGTTTGTTTTTAAATTTTCATCTATTATTAATCAAGTGTAATACTGTAATACCGGTAATGTAGACAAAAACTACACAACCAATTTATATATCAGGAGATGGATCTCAAACATTTGGTATAAAACATTTGTATTTGGTAGACAAACAGGCCTCAATATTCCGCTTGATTTTGTCATTGCAGTTATATACAACTCTAGAAGTTTTCAAGAAATTCCATTTTAAAGAAGTCAAAAACTGCAAGAATCACATTACAGTCGTAAGCTTGTTAGACTTTGCCTCTGAGCTATCAGCAAAAAAAAAAAAAAAAAAAAAAAAAAAAAACTGCATATATATCGCCCTTATGTTCTATTTATAACAGTGATCTTGTTTTTGATTGAATGAAAACAAAAAGTGGAACTTTTGTAGAGGATATGCCTCACATTATATGAAAGTTTCCGAAAAAATACCAGGTAGTTTTAGAGGACAACCTTTGAAAATCAGAATTTGACATTGGACCATTAACGTTTTCATAAAAATTTGCCCAGTTGTTTCAGAGAATATTTTTCAAAAAGTACCGATTAACGACGCCGATGGAAGCCTCAACTTCTCAGGCCTTTCTGCAAAGCTCGAAAAAAACCCACCTCGAATGGATGTTAAAATTTTATACAAAATGAAGTCGCTCCCTATTTATAAAAGTATTGGATAGACAGAGTTGATTGTCCCTTTTGTAGTATATTTTAGGTAATATCTTTACAATATATGTGGGGTTCAGTTCCATACTCTGCACGTAAGAGTCCACTACATTTATTTCAATGTTTATGAAGGGGGGGGGGGTCATAGACAACTCTACGTAACACATTCTAGGTTGTTTTGCCCTTGCCAGAAAGGCCCGAGATGTTGCAATTGGCTAATGTCGCTTTATCCTTCTGTTCTAGGTGAGCTAAAAAGAGGCATAGTGCCCTTTCCAAGTATTTTGCCTACTACCATGTTTATAAATGGAAAATACCTTTCTTAGTGCATTAGATTGTATAATGTAGGGTGTTTATGTGTGTACGATAATTATATTTTTTTTTTATTTATGTAGCTTAAATTTTTGGGAAACCAATTTTAAGAAATGAATATGGGGACCTACATACAGTGTATATTTATATATATTTTAAAATCTTACGCATAAATTGACGAGAAAAAAGTTTTAAACTATCCATTCTTTAACTATTACTTCACAACTAGCCTCTGCAATGCATTATCACGTTACTTTGCATAATTTCAATTACTTGCATTAATCTTTTACAGAATTTTGTATCCTGATGTATATTTCCTTTAATATTAAGATCCCCCCCCCCCGTAAGGTCAAGATCACTATATGTTTCACGAACTAGTCTTTAACTAGGCATGTTGTCAACACTTCCACTTCCTCTATCTGTCCAGGCCCCTAGCAACGGTTTCAAAAGCTGGAGGGGGGGGGGGCAACTTCCAGAAATAATTTGAGAATTAGCTGTCCCAATTCTGGAATTTGCCAGTGCTCGATCTTAGAGCAACAAAAAGTGTGTGTGTGTGGGGGTGGGGGGGGGGGGGTGGGGGGGCAACCAGCGAAAGAGACTTGAACCACAGAATTCAAACGCAAACATATATTACACTACATATAACCTCATGGAAATAGGATAATTGATAAATTACATGTATTTTCATATATATATATATATATATATATATATATATATATATATATATATATATATATATATATATATATATATATATATATATATATATATATACGTGTATATGGTATTTAAAGAACATAACCAAATTTCCCATTCTCGGTTTTCTGTTTTAAGTTTGCTCAAATACATAAATCTATTTTTTTTAAATACACAATAAATCCCATGAAAAATATGCAAATCTTATTATCTTGTTTGAGATGGTATTCAAAGACCATAACCCATAACGGTTTAAGTTGGTTCAAATACACAAATCTATTTTTTCCCAATAAATAATAATTCTCCATATATCCCACACAAAATCGGTAAACTGTATTTATTTTCACTATTTTTACCAGGTAATTGCGTACTTCGTATTTTTTATAGCTAGATTTACTAAATTGTATAAAACATTGAAAAGTTATGCGCCATATCGTAAGCCATGTCGTATACTAAGTGTGCTATACCTCTTTAATAATAAATACATGTACGTGTATATGAATATTTTGCGTAAGTCTTTGACCTTTGACCCAAGCTTCAACAAGAAAGTGCTTTAAGCTTTAAAAATAAATATATTACATGAATATGGAGGATTTAGAACTTTTGTCCTTGTATCCCTTCACAAAGATGGGAGCTTGAAACCACACAAACGCTGACAGTATGTCCTCTGTAATGTTTGTATGTAAAGCTTGAGCTGCAAACTCTGTGGGTATATCCTTTACAATGACATCGGTATTTATACTTTTATTGCATACCATATCAATAGAAGAGTTCGATTGGTTTTTCTCTAAGACTACAGTGACGTCATTAGAGGTTAAATCAGACGAGCCTGAGGCGGTTACAGAAGTTGCGCTTGCTGACTGCGAAAAGTCAAACGGTTCAAGTAGGCTTTTGGTAGAATCCTGTAAAGATTCCTCGTCCCCAGACAACGAGAGTCGTGTCGCGAAATTCACCATCGAGATGTCATTAGCTGAAGATTCCAGCGGTTCGATTCCCGATATTTCTGCCGTCTCATTGCCACAATCAATGCTGTGATTGACTGGATGCGGATATTCGCAACTCAAGTTAAACACGTGTCGTCTACCTCGAATCGGAACTTTGAAATGGGGTTTAGGAAGAAACCACGTGATTCCGCTATTTTTAGGCGCATTTACCATCACAGTCATATTTGTTGGAGAGATGGACTTGACACCTCCCAATACGTCCTGCGTTATAATTTGTTGGAAGAGAGATTTAATTGAATTCCTCACACTAAGGCTATCATATTCTGGATGCAGAACAGGCAGAGTCAGTAAATATGACTCTTTAGGACTAACCGGAGTGGTTCCGAACAGTATCAAAACGCTTCTGATTTCTGAACAAATTTCGAACGCCTGTGAGATCATGTCAAATATTTGGTCGAGATTACAAACAGCCTTAATGGCGTTTTTAAGTTCCCTTCTGTTAGTGCGTTTGTCCATTCGTGCCTTAACTTCAGTTTGTTGTTGCTGTAAAGAAAGAAGAAACCCATTATATCATTTTAAACCTTGATGCAGCATTGTTTCAATCCCCATTTCTATAAGATTACATTACAAGACAAACAAAAGTAATGAATATTCATAATTGATAACAATTCTTGTTTGAACAATTCTTATCTATTGAAGTGTATTCTTCTTCTATCACTTAGAATCGTGACAAGCCCCCGGAACACAAGATACATTGACGTGTAATAGGATGATCGCCAAGTCGCGGGGATTTCCCAAACACGACTACTATTAATTCCATTGTTTTTAATTGTCTGATGTATAATACACTTAATACTCGACAAATTGTCCTCATTTTTTACCTCACTGCTGCGTACGTCTTTGCCCACAGAAAACATAACCATACAAAGACACTTCAAATCTAGGCCAAAGTTTTTTCCGTTCTTTTTTTTTTTATGGGAAAAGGGGAGGGAATTTGAACGTGGAAAGATTTTGCCTACATGAAAAGAAACGTATTTTTAATACCAATCAATCACAGGGACCGGTAACATAGTACTTTGTTTTGAACATATTTCATTGACTAAATCAAAAGGATTGGAAACAAGTTCTTACAACTTACTAGTTCCTCTCCTTAAATATATTACTACATGTCATGCAATTGAAATAGTACACAGAAATATAAATTTAAAAAGTGATACAAGTGAAATATCTGTTCAATAACATAGCAAATTTAAAATCTACAGGATTCATCAATAAATTTATGCACAGCAGCAAAAATATTTGTATTGGTTTGTAAAGGCAAATTTACATCACCCCATAATAACAAATTTGTGTCAATAGTGACCAATTCGTCAAGAAAAAATAGGCGGTTAAAAAGATTATTCCTAGCGTTTGGGTAATTTCTACAGGCAAAAAAGAAATGATAAACATCTTCATACTTTCCACATGAACATAAAGGACTATTAATAATATTTCGTTTGTGTAGATCATAGTTAAGTATACAATTATGTCTAAGTTTAGTATGGATTATATTTGTATAACGTTTGCCAAATGAAAAATAGATTGGGGGATTTTTTAGTTCTGTAGTTAAGTTTTTACGAAATGCATTGAGTGAGATGGCTTCTCTTGTTTCTATCTTTAATAAATTCCACTGTTTCACAGCATCGGGTATAAAAGACCTTTTGTATAATTCTAATCTGCATCTTGGAGCAGTGAATTGTTCTTTATTACGGGTATTATATTTTGATATTTTTTCACGCTTGTGTGGAACAATATCATTCAAGTATTCAGGTACACAACCATTATGAATTTTGTACAAAGTCGTCATTTTTGCGACATAGCGCCTAAATTTCAACGTTTCCCAGTCAGTTTCAGAGTAAAGTATTTCTCTTGACACAAAAATTGGAAGTCCTGTAACAATCCTAGCTGCAGATAGTTGAACTCTTTCAAGCTTTTCGGCATCAAAGGTTAGAGCAGCCATCCCAAACAATAGAAGCGTATTCGAGCGAGGGTCTGATAAATGTGACATATAATTTTGAAAGGTGTGTCCTACCAATTTTAAACTTAAGTTTTTTTAAAAGCCCAAGTTTTTTATAAGCATTGTTTACAGTGCTATCAATGTATTCTGACCAGCTAAGGTTTTGTGACAACAATAGACCTAAGTGACGATGAACTGGGACACACTCCAGTCTGTCGCCTTTAAAAAAATAATTTAGGCATAACAGAATTATTTTTCTTGTTGAAAAAAATAACTTTTGTTTTGGAAGGGTTGAATTTTAGAAGCTACTGATTTGACCAAAGTTCCAGAATATGTAAATCGTGATTTAAATTATATTCAATATCAAGTATATTGTATGAAGATTTTTGAAGCGAATTATCATCAGCAAAAAGTCTACACATTGATAACATATTTACAGCAACATCATTTACATATATCAAAAATAAAAGTGGACCTAAAACATAGTACTTTGCTTGATTTTAACTGATCACTATACTTTCAAAAAGAGGTTGGACGAAATAATGGCAAAAATAGAAACGTTCTCGTGAAGTGTTCTCCTGATTTACTTCATTTTAGCAAATAAAATATACATAACTATTTTGCTAAAATAAAGTAAATCAGAAAGGAGAGAAAACTGATTTATTAATTTTTGCGAATTTTGCCTCCTTTAGCGGACGACTTAAACCTAATTTAAACACTTAATAAATAATTGATGTTACATTTTTATTAAAGAACAAAGTATGATTCCAGTTGATTCTGTTGTTGAAAGATTTGAAAAGGGTTCTCTGTCTAGTGAGAGATTTATGTTTGAAAAAAAACACTCCTATTTTAATAAAATTCTAACTACATAATTAGAAAAATAATTAAATAATGAAAGATGCATTAAAAAGAAATGATTGTATTTGGCATTTCTTGCAAGGAGTGGCGGTATAAACATGATATTTACCTCACATTTTATCAATAACATTAAAAATCAAATTGAACTCAATCTTGCAAAAACAATCAAGTAACGAATTCAGAGGAACACACAATCATTAACCACCCCCATGTTTTTTCTTGCTTTGATCTGCTGACGTGTGTAAAATCTTGAATTTCAATTAATATTGAGACTTGATATCAGCCTTACTAACCCTGATAATATTGTGGATTTCTTCTTCAAGATATCTACATATTAATATTTTGGCATAAAGAATTATTCCCAAGTTAAACCAAAAGCCCATGCTTCAAGTAACAAAAGGCCCATTGGCCACATTGCTCACCTGAGTCACTATGACCCTGTTATTCTTTTATCGAATCATTTTATAGTATCATACATATTTCTATGAAAAAAATTGATCACCCTATCTGAGGGTGCTTTCATACATGTATAAATATGACTAACCATGGCTTTGCTGTTCATGAGCATAGGTGCTTGAGAACAGGACCTCCCTCCCACCACCAAATACAGACCTCCGGGCCCTTTCGACTTTTTTTCATAAACTATCTTTTAGTAATATATTATAATTTCTTCAGGAAATTTTATTGTTGGGTTCTAATGACAAATCCAAATTATGAGGAGTGTTGAACTCATAACATCAAATTCGGGCCCCAGGATCATGAAACGTCTTATGCTTAAGTCAAAATTTTTATGTTGTATTAAAATTTTGTAGAATTCAAGCAGACCAAAATTAAAATATTTTTCAATATTGCTTCACAAAAGTGTTGTTATCTGCAAGTTTATAGATTAATTCAATAATTAATAACCATTTCACAGCTGATTGAAAATTTGACTTAAGTCCAAGTCCATTTCATGATCCTGGGGCCAGGTGTACTAAATCTCTGGTAAACTTTCCAATGATTTTTTTCTACTATTATAGTATTAAGTCCCTTACAAATCACCCAGGCTACCTTATATTGTTGGATCCTTAAACATTTGGCTGCAGGAAAAGGGACACTGCCAATCATCCTTAGTTTATCTATCCCTGACCAGACCTTCCTGTGAAAACTATAGCTGTTTGAATAGCTTAAAGGACTTATTCGATCGATTTTTTAACAAAAATCATAATTTTATGAAAAGTATTATCTACAACTTTGTCTTTTAAAATACTGAATACAATAAATGTTGTTGTAACCATATTTTAAGCAATATTGAGAGTTGAAATTCAAATACGGCAATATGCATATTTTGGCGAAATACTGCTCTGATGTCATAGGCAACAATACAGTGATAGAGAGAAGAAAATTTGCACACTGTAAACATGGTAAATGCGATTTGATGTCCTTGTTCAATAAAATTACTATAAAATGTATATAGTATATTAATAATGTCCATGTTCTTGCTAGATGATTAATATAGATCTAGTAATTTCATTCAAAATTGCAAATTACCAAACATGTCATATGAACACATTTTGTAACTTTGGGTGAAAGCAAGTTTATTTTTAGCGTGTTAAATTGACCATTGGCCTTAATGCTTCTAATTAATTTTTCACTAGACAGTGAATTAGAAAATACAATTCCATGATTTAAGTAAAAAAGTATAAGATGCACATTATGCACTTTCCTTTCCGAATTTGCCTTGGCCGAACACAGAGGCTTGTCATGAAATAACTTTCCTCTTTAAATACTTTAGACCCGGGCACTGGACAGGTTGGGAACAATTGCACAATTGGGATATAATATCCCAAATGGGATATAAATTTACAGTGTAAAAAATGAAGATTTTTCATTTAGCTATATTATAAATCTGCATCAAAATAGTATTAGTTATAATGCAGTAACTTTTGGTTAACAAGTTTTTTTAATTACCTAACCTTTTACCTAACCTAACCATTTTGAACTGTTTCCTGATTCATTTTAATGTTTTAACTTTTTGCATATCATGAAACAGTCAAACTGTGTATGTTAGTGAATTGTTGCATGGCTGAACTGATCCATTATGACGTCATAATTAATTTCCCGTACCTTTCAGCTATAATATTGACTTTGATGTTGAGTTGATGTGAGAATTGGATTAATATTCATCTTGTTTAGTTTGGTTTCAAGAAATGCTACTAATTGTTGTCGATGTATTTTAAAAATCATTGATATCTGACAATCATTATTGTGTCTATACTATTTAGCTTATTTCATGACAACTCGGGAAACAGTCAAACTGTTGTCCCTCGATAATGGGGAGACCTGGGAAACTGTTGCCCTTGGCCTTCAGACTCTGATTTTATTTTATTATTCTATCTATATTGACAGTTTCCCTCGTAGTCATGAAATATGTGTTTACTGTAGTGTATCCCCACTCAGTGGGGTCCACTGTTACAGGGCTCGACATTAACTTTTTTTCCTACTTGTCCATTCGGACAAGTGACCAAGACATTTACTTGTCCGAACTTCAACTTCACTTGTCCGAAAAATTTTCAATAAAGATCTAATACTGTTAACTGAAAAACTAAAAATAAAGTACTAGTACATTACATGTGCATGATGATATTTACAAATACAATGAACACATATAACAAAATTTTATCTAGACTTTCTGTCCTGACAACATAAATGCTGTCAACATAAAACAGAAACCGAACTTCGTCAGTTCCATGCCTTTGCAGTAGTATGCAATTAGTGAACTTCAATCCCGATCGAGTGTACTCAATTACATAGCGATCTATATCGGGATCGAAGTTCGGTTTTTATGTACTATTTCCGTCTTAAAGTACCGGTAAACTTTTAACAGTCGTTCTTTTAAATATTCAGAGTCTTCTTTACATAAAAATGCACTTGTCCAATCGGACAAGTGCCCAGCAATATTCACTTGTCCGTATTTTTTTTTCACTGGTGCCGGACAAGCGTTAATGTCGAGCCCTGACTGTTTAGGAGATTGATCCCTTGGAAAATCCTGAACTTCTTGGGGATCGATCACATAAACTGTAGGATTTTAGACAAATGTGCTTGCCAAAATTATTGCACTCAATTTACATAAATGCAAGTTTACAATACCTATAGCCAAAATATTTTTTCATTGTAAATAAAAGGGGCTATAATATCCCATTTGCCTTTGCCACGATTTGGTCGATTGGTCCCAACTTGCTGAAAGCTGCACCATATTCACATTAACTTCCAGTGCCCGTGATTATTCTCACCCTACTGACTATGTTTAGAACAAGTCACTTTGGGCTGAAGTGTCGTCAGTCGGTGGACTGAATCGTCTTTAAATTCCTTACCACCTTCGTGTCCGTGTTGATATTCTTTTTCAGTTGATCTAAGGCCATAGGGAGCTGTTGTCTCTGGTACATTAAATACTTGATTATTTCAACAACCAGTTTTGCTCTTACTGTTAAACCCAGTCCATCATCAAACACAAAATCGTGTGTGATCAAATTATTTTTGAATCTCCCTCTGTTTGCCATGATTTTGAAAACAAAAATGGCGTTCCAAACCCGAGCTTTAAAAAAACCGACCCCGATATAAATTACTTTGGAAGTACTCTTGTCAATCCATTGTTTAAGTTCAAAGTGAACTAATGCAACAGAAATTGTTTGGTAAAAAAACAAAAAACTGTCCTCGGCAAATATACGCGGTAAAACATCTAATAGAGAGCATTATTTTAAATTACATAATTTACCATAGAACATGAAGAAAAAGAGGTACAACTCTGCCAAATTACAGTGACTTATAGGCCTAGAGTTCTTTTCTATGGAAGTGAATAGTTAAGCCATGTTCTAGGTTCTGAATTTAAAGAGTGTTTTAAATTCTGTATTTACTCCCACCCATAAATTCAAAAAAATTAGAACATGACAAGTGCGCGTGTACATTCTCCTTCAGAATCATAGAGGCTTGTCTTCCGTATTGTTAAAGCTATATATGGCATATCTGAGCTAAAAAATAAAAATACGAGCTAGATTGTGTGTAGATAAACATGATATATGTTTTTTTTACGTTAAAATTAAATTTTTCACCGATTTTGAACTTGAATAACCTCATGTTTCCATAGTTAAATTGATTTAAACGGTAAATAAATCGGAACAACCTTTTTTTTTAATTTCTAATATCTTTGAAAGGTGATTGATTTAAATTGTGTAATTTACAGGAAAGTGCTATCTTTATATAAAATAACAAATCAAATAAAAAGATATTTTTTATTTTAGTTAGTTTGAACTTATACAAATACGGCATATATGACTTTAAATGTAAAATAAATCAATGAAATTTTTTTAATCTACTTTAAATACACTTAAAAATTGTTAAAATAAAGATTCTGACACTCTAGAGTTTATGTATGTAGGTGTGGTACGTCTGTTTTAAACGTGTTTTTTCTTGACTGAAAGTGTCAGAATCTTTATTTTAACAACTTTTAAGTGTATTTAACGTAGATTCAAAAAAATTATTAATTTATTTTACATTTAACAATCCGGAAGACAAGCCCTTATGTTCAGAATACGTATATATATATATATATATATATATATATATATATATATATATATATATATATATATATATATATATATATATATATATATATATATATATATATATATATATATATATATATTTAGGTTAATTATCAGAAAATAGGTCAAATTTTCTCTTAAAACTTTTAATGTATATTGTATCTTGTAAATAACTAATTAAAAAATAAAAATTGTTTTTTGTTTGCTAAATCAGAGAATCTAATGAAATTTTCCCCCATTCTCTTATCTCAGTATTCACTGACTATTATTTCAGGCCCGCAGGGGGCCGGGGGGGGGGGGGGGGCTTGATGCTTGCAATGTTGCTACGTAACTACATGTTTTTTTGGTGTGTTTTTTTTTTGTGGTTTGGTCTGTATTGACTGCCCGGAGATACTGCCACCAACAACCTCTTCCAAGTTCAGTGAGTTATATCAATTCAAAAAGTATCTGTTCATCATTTTTTCTATGGGGAAAAAAAACACTTCCTGTTATGCGCATAATTTCACTAATATAGAGAGAGAGACAGGGACTCAGCTACTAAGTTTATAGGCCATACCTGATAGAGACATTTATCTATACTCAAATTGCTGAACGGGGGGGGGGGGGGGTAAACTTGTTTTACATTGGAATATATACATGTATATGGAAAGAAAAAACACCAAGAACATGCCTAATAATATTCATTTGCAAGCATTCTCAGGTAGTGCAGATTTAAGTTTAAATCATGGCCACCCTGGCAATGTCTTTCATATTCTTACACTAGTATATGAAAAAATCTGTTGCAGAAATACACAGCTAAGAATTTCATAAGAACAAACATTCTCAGAATATCGCATAAGCAATACTAGTCCCCTCCGGCAAGTGTTATCTGGTTCCATTTAATAATTAAAAAGACTGAAATTCCGTCAAAAAATTGTTATTAAAGCGGAAAAAATACACATTAAGGTAGACTCAAATACCAAAAAATCAACTCAATATCTGCATTTATATCTATACATCTATGCTTCTATATTTACGGGAAAAGTGAAGAAAACCAGGTGGAACAGACTGACAGTAGGGTAGGGGACTAATAACAAAACTAATACTAAGGCCCGATACTTTCTTGTCAGTTTATTATTTAATTAAGGTTATTACTGAAGACGACATTCGTCACTCACGAGCGCTCACGTTGTTTTTCCGGTTCTAATTATGACGTCACAAATTACGCAGTTGACGGGTGCGAGGAAACTATATACGAATCTCTTTTGTAGAGTCTTGGTGATTGAAAATGCACAAGATGAACTGATTTTGTTTATCCCTGCATTTCAGTGACCAAGAAGTTTGACTACAATCGGTAGTTAATCGCTTTTGAAATTTAAGGCTAAATCGGATTATAAAATGACATAAAACGCGTTAACCCTCAGGTGATTAAGTCGTTTACAGTAGAGATGGTGCTCTTTATATTTTAAAACCTCTTCAAAGTCTAATAACTGAGGAATTGTAACAACCTGACATGGCTGTATCTTTAAGGTATGTGAATTAAAACTTTTTTGGAATACTTTTGAAATTATTTTCATTAATTTTCCGAAGAAAAACAATGGATAGTTCTTTCTTACAGTACTTAATATACATAAATTGAAATTAAATGCACGAAATTGTTATAATTAAATACATTCCCTGCATATATAAACGCAAAATATCAAGTTCAGTGTACTTAAATATGAATTTGGGGTGTTACGTTGCGACTTTTTGCTTTTGTTTGTTTGTTTATTTTTTTGTTTTTTTTTGTTTTTTTTTTCTTCCTCGTTATCTGAGTGTCTTAGTTCCACAAGCCGGTGTGTTGTCTGATTACTCAGTAATCCTATATATGTGTACAGGCCCTGGAGTCAGAAAAAATAAAATAAGGAAAATTCAATTTTAATTCCTTAATTTAACTTAATTCCAATTAAATTAGACGGATAATGTAAAATTAATCCAGTTAAATATTACGTTTCTTTCAATTAACAATGATATTGTGGTGAATAGAGAACCTTTTCTGTTCAGATTTCGCTGGTTGCTATACGTTCTTATTAAAGCCTTATAGTCTTGTTCCACGTCTTAAAGCAGACTTCGTTTTCAAATCAAAATGAATGTTTTTCAGCCAAAAATGCCTGTACGAAAACAACTAAAGTCTAGTCAACCCCAAGCGTTTGGAAAGAATGCGTTGTTACAGAAGCAGTACGAGCGTCTCTACAACCGACTAGAAAAGGAACGGAAGTCAACACAGAGGCGGATCCAAGTCACAGAGGAGAAGTGTGTTCACGCCATATACTACTTGCTGCAGGAGGCTGAGTCGTTTGAACAACAGAAAAAACGGAAAGAGGAGGAAGAAAAGGAAAAACGTATCCAGAAAGAGGGGAAGCTACCCGTGTTTTACTACGAAATAGAGAATGAATACGAACCCCCAAAACCGGAAACGAAGGTGACCCGGGGGCGGCCCATGACAGCATCTGTTCGAACTCGAAAAGGAAGTGCAGATCCTAAGGGATTAAGAAATCGACCCTCTTCCGCAAGCCCTGCTCTTTGTACTGATAAAGCAGATTCTGTGCCCAGTGCTCCTGACATTCAAAGAGTCCCCAGTGCTGATAGGTCTAAAAGGAGATGCTCTATTACGAGTTCGTGTGGCTCCAATCAAAAAGAAAACGATTCTAGACCATGTTCTGCAAATGTTGAGCCTCCCAACACGACTTCAGGAAGTAACCTAAAACTATGGCAGCTCAGTCTTAGAAAAAACAGCGAAAGAAAACCGTCTGCTGTAAGAAGGGAAAGTGTATCCAAATTGGCGGAGGAAGTGCCAGCTGCAAGTCCGGAGCCAGAATCATTGAATGCTTTTGCTCGACCAAAAACAGCTGACAGATATCGGCAACGGCGGCCCGATGACGAGCTGTCCGAGTACTGGAATCGGCGAGTGGCCAGTATAATCAGAAAGTGGGACCTCCAGGATAATGACCAGTATTCAAAAGACCTTAAAGTTATTAAGGACATCGGCCGCCCACCGTACAGAAGAGTCGACTCCAAAACAGGAGAAGCCGAACTGAGGACTAAAACTTTTATTCAAAAATATTCAGGCAAGTACCGATCTTTGCTTAGACCTGAAACAGCACCGGTCTTGGAAAACAGACAGAGAAGAAAGGAAAAGATAAGCAGACAAGAGTTAGCGACCATTAATGCCGACACTGCCAAACATAAAAAGAACACCAAGATGCTTCTACTTAAGAGTAGAGAAATAAAACTCTATGTAGAAAATCTCCCCGGAGTGGACAAAACACAAAATCCTCTTAATTTGTCTAATCCATGACCTGTTATAGTTTGTATTATGTAAGCGGATTAATATACCTGTTATGACCATTTAAAAAACAATTCACACATCAAATGAAATATACTTTTAGATACGTGTACAATGTAATAAAAGGACAATTTGTGCACGAGAATTTATTTGGTTAATTTCATGACTTCAGACTGTGTTCATGACTTGTAGATGAACATCAAAGGTTAAACATACATGTATTTTATTGTTACATATATATGTATATATATTATTCATATTAAGTAATACATATTCATTAAACAAAGAATCATTTTATCAGTATTTGTCTTTTAGCAGAATTTGTTAAATATATGGTCGCTGTCAATTTCCTATTCATGTGCCATTCCGAATATCCAAGAAAGTGTACAATATATAGACACAATGCATTGTATTTACTATGAAAGATAGGTTTCTTTGTAAATACAAACTTAATAATCAACAATACACAAATTATAAAGCAAAGAACAATAAAAAAGATTTCATCTTGGAGGTCGTCCAGTGGTCACGTGACTCATTTCTTCTCTGATGCTGGTGCTTCTGCGCACCAGTCTCCTGATGTTAGTTTCCTTCCGGCGTAAATCAGCTTGGATTGTATCGAGTTCGAACTGTCGGACTTTAACTTTTTCTCTTTCTCGCTGCTTTGAAAGAAGCTGCTTGTCCAGGTCGTAGTAGGTAACACCAGGGATAAACACCCACTTGTATTTAGAGACAGTGTTTTGAAGGAAACTGCGCGTGCGTGAGGATGCCAAACTCTGTGGAGGAAGTAGACAAGTCTGGGGACGATGGCCCATTTGCTTTTCAACTTCCTTGTCTGTTTCCGACGCTGTAAACAGTCTATTAATCCGCTTAAGAAAATATTCAGCTTCTACTTCAGAAACACTTTTGTTGACACTTTTATCTTCACAATCTGCCTGTTTGTTCGTCTTTGAGTTCTGCATTCTTGTACTGCTTCTTTCTGTTTGTGGCTGATATTGTTCGTTGCTTTCCTCGCTTTCCTTCCCAGACGGATTTGGATTCGGAGCACTTCCATGCAGCCTTGGCATAACGTGACGCCGGGGACTAGAGGACGATGTTGGTTTGACTCCCTGTGTCTTTTTATCAGATTCTTCACTCTTTTCTTCCAACAGGTTTATCCTACTCCTAGTTACTTTGAAAGCTTTTTGTTCTTTTGAACTATTGCATTTGTTTATGTTTGACTGTGATGGCAAATCTTCAAGCACAAACGTAGCACTCCGTTTAAGACGAAGTGTATTTTTGGTCCTGTTACGTGGTGATTTTTTTGTCGTATCCTTTGCAAATTCCTCGCTTTTACGTAAACTAACTGTTGGGATATCAGGTCTTTTGAGAGAATTTCTATTAGAAACTTCTTGGGTATTTTTGTCCAGTTTTTCGTTTTCGATTGTCTCTGCCTCTTTTAGAAGAGAGTAATGATTTAGTATATTGTCTACAGTATTTGCTTTTATCTTATTTTTGGCAAAGTCTAAATCCTTTTTGTAGGACCGACACCTTTGTCGACATATTCCTTGAGCCACCTTGTTTCGCTTCCTCGTCAGTTCCTCTGTCAAGCGTCCGAATGGCCTCTCTCCAATTTCCATGGCTTCAGGGATTCTGAAAGCAGTGAACATTGGTCAGAGCTGAACATTAAAATGTCATTGAAGGGAGGCATTTTTTAAATGAGGATTTAGTCTAAGAGCATTTCCATGTAGTTAAAAGAAAATGGCGTGAGGTGAGATTTTAAATATAAAAAAAACTTTTTTTTTCAAAATTTAATTGTTAGAAATATTTAAAAGACTTACTCGTATGAAGTATGACGCTAAATAGTAAATACCTGTTTATTTTAAATTTTTATTTGTGGACATGATGATATAGTTTTAAATTTGTAGAATTTTGTCCTAAATAAGTTTTAAATACAAAATTGCTATACAATTCTATCGATTAAAATTGAAGTTGAGAATTAATTGATAATCACTTTGATGAAATGTACATTTGCCAAATGAAATTAAAAGTTATTTACCTGCCGACAGGTGCGTTGACTGTTTTTTCCGCCTTGTGCATACAATTGAAGCAAATACACCATTGTTCACTACTGACACTATTCCCACTTATACCATCTTCGGCGGTACAACAATTTGGGGATTCCATTGTGTCGATTCTGAAAGTCACTCTAATACTCTAAATGGTCACCGGACCACTTTCTCAAAAGTCTAGTTCCTTCTGAAGTGACGCTTCAAAATTAACTGATTTTGAAGACCTAACCGCAAAAATAATTAGGTTGATTAGTGGAATTAGTATCATATCTCGAACATAACATTTTTCAATACACAATATTTTATTTCTATAGTAGCAATACAAAAAACGTTAGTTTCTTTTGGCTGAGTTTGCTATTTGATATGCCTGTAGACAATGAACAGAATGGAATAAGAGAGTTATAGCTGATAGGATCTCAATGGAATTGTATAAAAGAAAGGGACGAGTAACCATTCGTTACAATAAACGTATTGTCTCTGCAATGACACACCAGAGCAACAGGTGCGAGCATAAACATTCCTGATTGAGTCTGAAGCTTGATGCGTATGAATTTTCAATAAATTAGGAAAGTTAATGCATGTTATATCAACCCTTCGATTAAAGATCTTCATTCAAGCATGTGAATAGAAATATATTATGTATTTTCTTTACTAGTAATTAATTATCTAATTTGAATAATGGAGATATGGTATTGCATTATGCGGTCCAACACAAAACTTTTTTGACAATGTATTCTGTGGAATCATTTCAATTCTATGGTAGCCACAGTTTAACTGGTTTGTGGGGACGTAGTTTCGTGAGTAACTCGTATAAACAAAGAGGAAGTAGATCGATACTAAGACAGAGTTCGTTCATGGGGATATAAGTTCGTTGGTAAGGGTGACCCATGAACTTACTCCCCCGGGACAATAATTATGACTCCACGGAGGACATGATATTAATCGATGCATGTAAATAAAATGATTTTACAGCTAATACATGTAATTAACTTATTATTAAATCATTCAATTACAACGTCCATGATCTTTGTAAAGGGAAGAATATTCATTATGCTTTTAAGCAGAGAGAAAGTTTTCTCTATAATATTGTAATTCTCCGCGAAAACCATTTTTATTATATTGTATTATATATTTGTAATCTACAAAAACCGCCATACAATGTCATTATGCAATATTTTGTATTATATGTTATTGTTGAAATGATGTATAAGATGTATGTCTTAAAGTTCATAAACTCTCTGCTAACTCATATAAAATGTTGCTTTACATGTAATTCTTATGATTTTCCAGAAGAAATATATTTAAGTAAAATACAATTATAGCATAGATTGCGGGGCAAAATTGAGCAAAAAAGACAATTCAACTTGACATATTTCTAAAGGAATAATAGACATTTATGTCATTAAGAGTTATCTCTCTTATCAGAGTATCGATGAACCTTAAGCAATAAATAAAAAAAAAACAAAACATTCTTTTTAGATGAAACACAGAGGATGAGAAACAAACTCGAGGTTTGATATTCCAATAGTTTGGTCCTTCCAAATACATGTATATAGGTCAACAGAGTAATAGAACTGTAGAATTGTCTTGGGTTATAACTTTTTAATATGATAAATAAAAAAAAATAGCAACAATATAATAAAAAAACTAGACGTGATCGAATGACATTTTAAAATACAATGAAGTTCACAAAAAGAATGATTCCTCCTTGACCATTCTTTCTATCTCCAGAAGCGTCTCTTTGGGTAAGTTACCATGCACTTCGGAGAGATATTTACTTATAGCGAATCCTGAATTTTCCTTTCCGTCATGTTCAGTCTCTTTTTTATCATCACTTCTGTCCGATTTTAATGGAAGTTCTCCTTTTTCTAGTTTTTGTTTCCCAAGTGAGATTGCTGGTAACGTGGAAAGATCAAAACTGTTTCTTGCTGGCATTTTAGGTCGGTCAGTGGCAGGATGCTTGTCTTCTGACTGCTCATCATCACTGCTCATTGTTGGAATCTTGATCACTTGATTACGGCCCTTCGAAATGACGGGTAGGGAGAGTTCTCTACTTATTTTGAGGGTTTTCCAGCGTTGGGATAATTTGGACGCACCAAAACGAGGTTGTTTACATCCAGTGTCACTTTGATTGTCGGACATTGTAACATGGGGAAGCGAAACTTGACCTGTATCTGCTTTTCTTCCAAAAATAGTCAAATTTTTTAAAGAATCAATCATCATTGCGAGATCTTTATCATCATCTTCGTAAGCTTTGGACAGTCTCTTGGCATTTTTAGCCATACTTTTCCTACGTAAGTGATTCATTTTGGTTTGCAGAAATTTATCTTTCTTCTTTCGTTTCTTGAGTTCTTTCATGGCGTTTCTTGCCTGAATCAGTGTATATGACGTTGTCTTTGACGCCTCTTCCTCCGTATCTAAACGTCCGTTTTTAGACGAAAACATTTTTCTGGCCATTTCATCTGTGAATCCTGGTCCAAATATTGTGTCAATTTCCTGAGCAGCTTTCGTCATTTCCTGCATATCTTGTCGAACACTTTCTGTCTCCAAAAACAGCGAGTGTCGGCGCTTCATCACTTCGCGATTTATCTTCCTCACATTCTTATCTAGTTCTACTTCCAGTTTTTTGTGGATGGAGAGATACTTAAATCCGGTGGTGGATATCTCCCCCATTTTTGACGTTTACCTCCTATGTGTTCCGGTCACTTTCTATCAACAGTTAAGGTTTGTGTAGCTTTGTAGCTGTAGTTATTAATAACATAGTCTCCGCACTGACCAATGCTCATAATCATAATTAATACGTTACATTTTTCAATATCTGAAGTGATATTTTGTGTTTAAAAGATTATGTGAAGATTAGGGTCTAACTTTTAAAGTTTTTTAACTGTTCTTTATCCGAAAGAGTCCCATTGGATCACTTTATTCTTGCTTTGATTAATTAGTTCGCAGTACTACAGTGTGTGACATGTACTCTTATATCTACAGGTGTAACACTCTGCTTGTAAAGTAATGAAGTTTTAAATAAAATGGGCATTGTAGGCTGCACGTGATCCTCATTATAAGGTTATCTACACATAATAGTCATAGCT